GGCCTAGTTTTCACAGCTGATATTGAGCTTCTCCAGCAGTTCTTTCCACAGATGTAATCAATCTGATTCCTATGCATACCATCAGGTGAAATTCAGGTATATAACCTGCGTTTATGTCTCTTAAAAATGTATTTGCTATGAATAAATCATTGATTGTGCAAAATTTGATCATTCTCTCAATGAACTGCCTGTCCCTTATCTGGAATCTAGTTTCTTATCTTGCAAGTTCTCAGTAATTGTCTCATGAAAGAGAAATTGCCTTTTAACAGAGGCAGGTTCTTTCCATCAAACAAGGAAAGGAGCTGGCAGAGGCTGAGGGAGACATGAAGGGGTGGAACAGGTCCCTGGAAAAGGCCTCACTTTATGTCTCAGTTAATAAAACCTTTGGAACAAGTGTAACCTTGGGAACATGAGTAACTCAATTTTGTGAAACTTGTATTGAATAACACACCTCACATATGTCCCCAGATATTAATAATGAAATAATTTGTCAATTAAGCTGGTTTTCACGTTGTAACTTTCAAAGTAAGTTAAAATTTTTGGAAAGAATATACTTACAGTTGAATTTCAGGTTTAAACATTTCCCGGAAATCCCTTCTCAAGGGGCAGCCATATAACTTCAAATTATACTTTACTTTCTAGAAAAGAAAAAAAAATGTTTTTGTTATTTTGAGCATTTTAGTGTATTGACAACATTATTATTTTCTTACCAAGTCTTCTTCTGGTCGATGTCTCAGAAATGACCTGTGAGAAAGGGAGAAGACATTTTCTATTATTTACTTCCATTTCTTCTTTACAAATTTAAGAAACTAAAAACTAGTACTTAATTTAAATATAGACTTTCCTTTATTAAAAGGTACCACAAACAAGCAAATAAATAACCATAACTACAAAATACTGAGTGTTTCTGTGTGGTAGCCATTTTCCACATGTAATGGTGAATTCTTACAACAATCAAGGCGTAAAATGTCGTTCTCCATTTTTGCCTGTGACACCATTGTTGGAAATGGTATGAGACTTACTCATGGTTTACAAACCTTGCTTTACTACTAAGAAGGCGGCATTATTAGAAAGTCCATGTCCACAGAACTATTCTGAAACATTTCTGGGCAATATATTAGTAGATCCAAGAATAAAGTATTTCAGACTCAGTAAGAATAAGTGTGTCAGAAATTTAGTGAGATTGACCCAGGATAGAGCAGGATTCAGAGCTATTGTGCATAGGGTTGCTATCAGTGTTAGTCAATTCGATGGCACAGAACATTATCAACACTAGATGTGCCATTTGAAACTTCAGCCATCTAATTTATATATTTTTTGTGATGGACTTCATCTCCTCCATGAATGAAAGAATTTACTCCCACAAAATCACTCTCTTCCACATATTTTTGCATTGTTATGTCTTTTCATGTTGACTGTGGCTTAGAGAATCCTATAAACAACCTTTCATTGTATCTACCTTGCCCCTTCCTCCTCATCTCTGGCATGTTTAACTCTGCTGTAAGAGTTACTGTGTCAGTCTGTCTTGTGTTGTAATGATCTTTATCTCCCTCTAACCCTCCACCACTCCAGGCATGAAGTTTTCTCCTAAGGACTGGGACCTCTTGGCAATATTCTCAGTCCACAGAGAGTAGAACTGCAAACCCAAAGGTGATGTCTCTCTGGAGGTTTGAATCCTGCAGGGACTCAGAGGGGGAAAGATGGGCAGTCTCCTTGCACATAATTTACAGCCTCCAAAAACCTGCTGGAGGGTCAGTTTTGAGTTAATTTGGACTGGGAAGAAATGAGTCTCCCATATAGTGCCTGGTTTGTCAATGCTCAAAGTTAAATAACAATCACTAGTCAAAGCTTCATTGTTATTGTTGTAGCTGTGTGCCATATAGTTGCCTGTAACTCATAGTGACCCTATGAACAATAGCTCTGCAGCTTGTCCTATTCTGAGCCAAACTCACTTACTCTGACACTCATCTCATCCAGGGTCTTCCTCTCCTTCGTTTTCCCTCCACCCTTCCATGCATGATACCCTTCTCTAAGGACTGGTTCCTCCTGACCACAGGGCCCAAGTATGTGAGATGGGACTCCAAATCCTTGCCTCCAAGGAGCAACCTAGTTTCAACCTCTCCAGGATGGACTGTTTATTCTCTTGGCAGGCCATAAGATGTTCAATACTTTTCTCCAGCACCACAACTCAAGGGCATTGATTCTTTTTCTGTCATCTTTATTATTGTCCAACTCTCAGATGCATAGCAAGCAACTGAGAAGACCATAACCTGGATTAGGTGCATCTCAGTCTCTAGACTGACATCATTGCTCTATAGCCTCCTGGAGAGGACCCTAAAAGCAGATTTTTCTAATGCAATTCATCTTTTGATTTCCTGACTTCTGGTATCAAGAGTGTTGACTGTAGAAACTGAACTGGTTAACAAGCTTAATAACTTCTTCATCTGTCCTGGTGGTGTCAATTGGCCAAATGCTCAGAATCTTTGTTTTTTTTATGTTGAGCCTCATTTTATATTGAAGACTACAGACCTTGACCTTCTGCAGCAAATGCTTCAGGTCTTCCTCAGTTTAAGCAAACAAGGTTTTGTCATCTTCTCTAGAGAGCAGAGAATGAGACATGGTGACAGAGGGTTATGAGAATCTCTGAAAGGGTCAGGAGTGAGAATAGCATAGCCCCTCACTGCACTAGCAGATAAAGAGCCCATAGTTCAGCCCCATGGTTCTCCCAGAGTCACAGCAGCAGCAAGGAGCTATTTATTGTTGACTCATAGTTGTGGTACTGAGAATGGGATTTATTAGGGAAGTTGTAAAGTACCATTGAGTCATAGACAACTCATAGTGGCCCTGTGAATGCAAGACCCTGAACACTTGTATACCTTTTTTTTCCCCACTTGTATAACTTTTGTCATTTCTCCATGTTCATAGAGTTTCCAGAGGCAAACCATTTAGGAAGTGGATGTCACTCCCACTTCCAAGCTTGTTTTAATCAGGAAGCTCCTCCAAACACTGTCTACCATGGGTAACCCTTATATTTGACACATCAGTGTCACAGTGTTTAGCAACACAGCAACCAGAGTTACCTCTGTACAGCAATACACAGACCAGTGCTATACCACTTAGAAGAATGTTTGACCAAAAACAATTAAAACCAGGCCTGAGAACCCAAATGAGTTTTTAAATAGGAGGTTGAATCACATCACCTCACACTCATTAGGGAGTCAACATTCCACCTTAAACCTCATCAGAACCATCAAACAAGCCTCTGTAGAATCTGGCTCCTGTAGACGACTTTTAAACTGGATTCTAGCATTAGGGAAGTATTTTTAAGAAGAGAAGGAAGTATATTTGAGAAGAAGTATATTTGAAAAGGATATCACCCAGTGCAAACCCAGGTTTTAGCCCAGCATGTTCCAAGGCACAATTCCTCAATCAGTTCAGGCTCTGGTTTTGGTTGAACAGTCAAATCAAAATCATCCAGCAAGATATGACCCAGAGTAGTTATCAGTCAGCTTCTCCTTCAAGCGACTGTCAAGAACAGCAAAAACCTTTAACTGTGGCCAACACAAAAGCAAGAAGCCTTAAGTCATACTTTGCCACAGTTTCTCCATAGCAGTGCCACAGTCTCTCCACCACCATCACCAGGGTCTCACCACCAGGATCTCATTCTCAAAAGGGTCTTGGTCTAGTCTCCCTCAAATTTTGCTGCCACAAGTCTTGTTAGTCAATGCGGGAAGCTCTCTTTCTTTTATCCTAGTCCTACAGATGTTGATAATTTGCAACACCATGAGTCTGCAGTTAAGGTAGATGGAGAATAGCGGGGGGGCTTAACATAATGGCTTAAAAAAAGCCAATTTATAGGCTAACACTGCACATCTGCATAATGCAGGTTATTGATGAGTCTTCCTCCAATCCTGATGTCACATTCCTCCTCATAAAGCCCAGCCTCCCAAATGATCTGTTCCACATATAGACTAAAAAGTATGGAGACAGGATGCATCCCTCATGTATTCCTTTCCTGATTTTGAACCATGCAGTGTTTCCTTGCTCTGTTCTGATGATGCTTCCTGGTCCAAGTATAGGTTTTGCATGAGCACAATCAAGTGTTCTGGTATTCCCATTTTTGTCAAGGTTAGCTACAATTTGTTGTGATACACAAAGTCAAACACCTTTGCAAAGTCAATGAAGCACAGATAGACATTCTTCTGGTATTCTCTGCTTTCAGATAATATCCATCTGTCATTGATTATTATTTCCTTAGTGCCACAGCCTCTTTTAAAACCAGCTTGTACTTCTGGTAGTTTGCTGTTGATGTTATTTATTGTTCCAGACCATTTTGGATAATCTTCAGCAGGATTTTGCTTTATATTAATATATTTCAGAACAGAACAAGAAATTACTATATTAGGAGAGATAGCCTATTTCATACCTTTAAAATCCAAATGTTGCAATGCTTTCATCAACTAGTAATATTTTCTCCTGATCTCTTCTATCTCACTTACTGCCGCAACCAAGCATTACAATCTGCAACATCGAGTCTTCCTTACACTCTCTAAAAAAATTTTAGAGTTCCCCAGCGGTCCCGTGGTTCTGTCTCTTGTTTCAACAGTGTTTGGACGGAACAGACCCGGCGACTTCCCCCCTTCCAACCTCCGACTACCCTCAAACTTCACCTCCAGGTGTAACCTCGGGATCATCTCAACCATCTCCTATTTTCGGGACCAGCTAACACCTTTTTTTTGTTAGCCCCAAAACCTCGATCAACTATGAGCTCTCAGATCCGTCAAAATTATTACGCCGAAGCAGAAGCTGGCGTCAACCGTCTGGTCAACCTGCACCTGCGGGCCTCTTACACCTACCTCTCTCTGGGTTTTTATTTTGACCACGATGATGTGGCCTTGGAAGGCGTGGGACACTTTTTCCGCCAGTTGGCAAGTGAGAAGCGCAAGGGTGCCAAGCGGCTCTTGAAGCTGCAAAACCAGCGTGGCGGGCGAGTCCTCTTCCAAGATATCCAGAAGCCATCCCAGGATGAGTGGGGTAAAACCCTGGACGCTATGCAAGCAGCGCTGGCCTTGGAGAAGAACCTGAACCAGGCCCTTCTGGATCTGCACACCGTGGGTTCCGCCCACACTGACCCCCATCTCTGTGACTTTCTGGAGAACCACTTCCTGGACGAGGAAGTGAAACTGCTGAAGAAGATGGGTGACCGGCCATCTGACCAACATTAGAAGACTGGGCGGCCCCCAGGCTGGGCGACCCCCAGGCTGGGCTGGGTGAGTATCTCTTTGAGCGTCTCACCCTCAAGCACGACTAGGGGTCTGTGGGGACTTGCAGGGGGAAACCTCTGCGTCCCCCTGCCAACAGCAGCAAGCTTCTCTATTCCACCCTGATGTAGAATCTTATCCACCCAGAAGCCCTTCGCCCAAGCCTTGGACCAAGTGAAACAATAAAGCTTTTTGCAACAGCTTAAAAACAAAATTTAAAAAAATTACTTGAAGGATATGCCTAGTGGCTCAACACCATTTTGTTCAGTTCAACAAGAAATCATGAGCTCTGATGGCCTAGTGGCAAGAAGCTGCACTGCAATCCCAGAGCCATGTGGTTCGAATCCACCTGATGCTCTGCTGCAGAAGGAGGGACAATCTCGTCCTGTACCAGTCATCCAATTTGACGGCACACACACAAAAATAATAAAATAGAATTTCAGAAAAAAGGAAATAAATTAAATTTAAAATTATTACCACTTTTCAAAAACTCTTGCAATAGTAACTAATTATAGAAAAGTATCATGTATATGAGTGATTGAATGAACCACAATGTGAATGAAAGATTGTATAAAACATGACATACATGAATGAAACACAATGTAAATAAATTATTGTATGTAAACCAATAAAAAGAAAGTGTTGGACATACACACACACACATACACAAATCAGGAACTGTATGCATCAGAGTTGTATCTGTTCACCATATTTCCTCAATTGGTATGCTGAGCAAATAATCTGAAAAACTGGACTATCTGAAGAAGTATTTGGCATCAGGATTAGATAATCTTGATAATTCATTGATAAATATAATTCTGATAATAAAGATAATTCATTAACAATATTATGCAGATAATACAGTGTTGCTCACTGGTAGTTAAGAAGACTTGATGTATTTACTGGTCAAGCCTAATGATTATAGCGTTCCATATGAAATTACATCTCAACATAAAGAAAACAAAAATCCTCTCCGCTGGACCAATAAAGACCACTAAGAAAAATGGAGAACATTTTGAATTTGTCTTCAAAACCATTCCCTTTCATTTGAATCTATAATCTGCACTTTTGGAAGTAGCAATCACAAAATAAAATTCTTGCTTCAGGCAAATCTATGATCAAGATAAAAGTAAAAATATGAAATGCACAGGGAAAAAAAACTCAGAATATTTGAAATCAGCACTATCCTGTCAAATCTGTAGCTTCTACCTAGCGTAGCCACAGTCATTGTTGCTGTTGCTGTGTGCCATCAATCCAGAACCTATTCATAGCTGACCCTCCAGCAGGTTTTCAGAGTCAGTAAATCATCAGGAGGAGATCATTCACCCTTCTGCAGAGCATCTGGTGAGTTTAAATGGTGTGCCTTTGACGTGGCAGTGCAACTCCTTATGTCTAGGCCACCAGAAGACTAAGGCACACCTGATTTAGGCCAGGATCTTTTTAATCACTTGCTATGCATCTGAGAGTTGGAAAATGAATAAGGATGACAGAAGACTCTATGCCTTTGATCTGTGGTGTTGGAGAAGAGTCCTGAATATCTCATGGATTGCCAGAAGAATAAACAGATATGTCTTGGAATAAGTGCAGCCAGAGTGCTCTTTGGAAGCAAGAATGATGAAGCTTCATCTCTAATACGTTGGACATGTTGCTAGGAGACACTATTCCTTGGAAAGTGATATCATGCTTGGAAAGATGGAAAGTCAGAAAAAGAGAAGATTATTAACCAGATGGATTGACAGTGATTGTAGCAATGGGCTCAAGAGTATCAAAGATACTGAGGATGGCACAGGATAGGACAGGATTCAAGTCTGTTGTTCACAGGTTTCTTAAGAGTTGTACTTCACTCAATGACACCTTTGCTACAGTTAAACAACATAGCTACAGCTGTGTAGAATTAAGAGACAAGTATATAGAGTAGAAAGGTTTTTGGCATGTGTGACTTCCTCCTTAAGATGTTGTTGTTATGTGCCAGTTAGTTGGAACAAACTCATAGCTGACCCTTCAGCACGTTTTCAGAGACTAAAATCACATGAGAGGAGATTGTCTACCTTTTACCCATTGAGCAGGTGAGTGGATTTTAACTATTTGCCTTTGAGCTGACAGTGCAACTGCTTTGAGACTATGAATACGTAAATGAAGCTTACTTTTGTTTATACAATTAAATTGGAGGATATTATGACTCAACCTTTGTCTTGTTTATCTCAAAATACTTTTATATTTAGTCTTAACACATTTTGCTTATTGTTAAAACTGAGAGCAGTATCAAGCCAAACACATTAATGCTGAAAAGAACTCAATGAATAAACATCAATTGATTAAATTATTGGGACTACAATGATCAAAAACTAAGTGCTTATGACAAAGATGATTACTTACTTATCAATTACGTAAGAAAAATTGTGCCGAAAGCATATTTTAGGAAACCTATAAAAAAAAGCACAAAACACAAAAGTGAAAATAATGAAGTTTTAATAGCATCATACTTTACATATTTGCATGAAATTTTAATCATTTACAGCGATAATCCTCTTGCTAAACTGAATTCCTGGGATTGGTACATACCTCTAGCATTTATCCCTTTCCCTCCTTTATAAATATCTATTGATTGCTGGATATATTTGATAGATATTTATTGACAATTCAAAAACCTATTACAATGATGGCAATTTCTTTTGACTCTTTTGTCCCACGTGACTATTTTCTGTTATTTATTTTTCATAAAAAGTCTTCTTGCTACCAGAGATTAAATTGTACAGGTAAGGCACTATTTTAAAGTTTAGCATAATTTCTAGTTTTGGTTCACAAAGATAGAAAGCTATACTATTCAATGAAATGATAGAAGTTTAAAGAAATTAAATTGTTTCTTTAACCATACTGACTGGCTACTTTCAACATACAGAGACCTCTTGCCCTGAGCTCCTATTTAGCTAGCCATTTCAGATCTGCTGTTGCTGTTATGTGCTGTCGAATCACCTGAGATTCATAGAGACCCCAAGTACAACAACCCTAAACCCTGCTCTATATCACTTGAAAATTTCACTTTCTCTGACCCACCTACTCCCATTACCCAAGTCACTAAATCAATCCATCTCACTGAGGGTCTTCCTTTCCTACGCATGACGTCCCACTCCAAGGACTGATCCCTCCATGCAACGTGTCCAAAGTATATCAGACGAAGCTTCATAATCCTTGCCTCCAAGGAGCGGCCTTCTTTCACCCTCTCCAGGATGAACCTGTTTGTTTGTTCTCTTGGCAGTCCATGGTATATTCAATACTCTTCTCCAGCACCACAGCTCAAAGCCATCAATTCTCTTATCATCCCTAGTCATTGTACATAGCTCTGATATATAGCAAGTGATTGCAAAGACCACAGCCTGTATCAGACTGACATCGCTGCTCTTCAGTACTTTGGAGAGGTCTCTGACAGCAGACTTTCCCAATGCAATACGTCTTTTAATTTCCTGAATGCTGGTGCCAATTTCAGATCTAGATGACCTTATACCCTGAATCCAAGTTGGATCCAAGAGAAATATTTCATTGACAACTCTCCCTCATTCTCCTGAAGCACCTTGGACATCAAGTTGTTAAAACATTAGTCATTATGTCTTATTTCAAGATAATAAGGCTGTGTTTGGGATTTCAAAACTGGATCATTAATTGGCATGGATGAAGGAGCAGACATCTATTTGTTATTTAATAAATTCTCTAAGGGATTCTCATCACGAGCTAAGTTTGACAATTACTATCTAGAAATGGACTGACTCAAGTTGGTTTGTGATTTCTAATTGCCTGAAAAGGAAGTCACCACTCAATGCTATTGTGTATTGACTTTTATGCATATGTTTCTTAGAAGAGTTAGTCTCCATTTTTAACACCCTACTAACCACCTCCTTGCAAGGAAAGGCTGCAGTTGGAGATTTCTCCAGGTTATCGAGGGACAACGATGTCAGTTTGAAGAAGAAGGTGCACTTGATTGAGGCCATGGTCTTTTCAACTTGCTATGCATCTGAGAGCTGGACATTGAATAAGGATGACAGAAGAATATGATGCCTTTAAACTGTGGTGTTGCAACAGAGCACTGAATATCTTATAGATCACCAAAACAACAGATATATCATGGAGAAAGTGCAGCCAGAATGTTCCTTGGAGGCAAAGACTTTTAGCATGTTGCTAGGAAAGGCTAATCCTTGGAGAGAAACATCATACTTGGAAATGTGGAGGGATGGCAAAGGAGAGAAAGACCCTCAAATCAAATGGATTGGCATGGTGACTGCTGCAATGGGCTCATGTGCCAGAGATTGTGAAGATGGCACAGGACAGGACAGGGTTCAGATCTCTTACTCATAGGGCCACTATGAGTTGTAATAACTGCCAAGAAGAGGCAACAACTCAAGGGTTCAACAGATGAATGGATAAACAAACTGTGTTCTATGTGGACTCCAGGCCAAACCTCCTGCCCTTGAATCAATGCTGATTCATAGTGAGGAGAGAGGACAGAGTAAAACTACTGCACAGGATTTACAAGGCTGTGAATCTTCATGGAAACAGACGACCACATCTTCCTCAGCTGCTAGGTGGCAGCTCTGACCTTTTAGTTAGCAGCTGAGTGTGTTAGCTATGTTACTAAAGCGTGTGTGTGTGTGTATATAAACAGTTGACACATAGACACAAGCACGTGATGGAATAATATTCAATAACAACATGGATGAACTTTGAACATACTATGATAAGTGTTAAAAGGCAGACACAAGATTACATAATGTGTAAAGTAGCAATTTATATGGAATATATTATTGTTGTTATGTGCTATCAAGTTGCCCGTGACTCATAGCGACCCTATGTACAACAGCCCTAAACCCTGCTCTATCCTGTGCCAACCTTATTGTCTCCGACACATTTATCCCCATTACGCCAGTCACTGAATCAATCCACCTCATTGAGCGTCTTTCTCTCTTGTGCTGTCCCTCCACCCTCTCAAGTATGATGTACCTCTTCAAGGACTGGCCCATCCTTGCAATATGTCAAAAGTATGTCAGATGGAGCTTCAGAATCCTTGCCTACAGGGAGCAGCCTGGTCTCACCCTTTCTAGGATGATGTTGTTTGTTCTCCTTGCAGTCCACGGCATATTAAACACTCTTCTCCAGCACCACAGCTCAAAGGCATCAGCTCTCCTCCTAGCATCCCTAGTCGTTGTCCAGCTTTCCGATTTATAGGAAGTAATTGCAAAGACCATGGCCTGGATCAGGTGAACCTTAGTCTTCAGACTGACATCATTGTTTTGGAGAGGTACTATGGAGAGGTCTCTGACAGCAGACTCTCCCAATGCAATATGTCTTTTTACTTCCTGGCTGCTTGTACCAAGAGTGTTGATTGCGGAGCCAAGCAAATGAAAGCTGTTAACAATCTTGATCTCTTCCTCATTGCCATCATATAAATATATGCACCAACAACCAGCGCAAAGAGGAGGAAATAGAAGATTTCTACCAACTTTTACAGTCAGAGATAGAATAAACATGCAATCAAGATGCATTAATAATAATGGGTAACTGGAATTGTAAAAGCTGGGAACAGAGAAGAAGGATCAGTAGTTGGAAAACATGGACTTGGTGACAGAAATGAAGCTGGAGATAGAATGATAGCATTTTGCACAATCAATGACTTATTAATTGCAAATACATTTTATAAGAAACAAATGCAGGCTGTACACATGGATATCACCTGATGGTAAGCATAGGAATCAGATCGATTATATCTGTGGAAAGAATCACTGAAGAAGCTCATTGTCAGCTGTGAAAACTAGGCCAGGTGCTGATTGTGGAACAGACCACCAACTACTTGTATGCAAGTTAAGCTGAAGGTGAGGAAAATTAAATCAAATCTACAGGAATGAAAATTTGACCTTGAATCTATCCCACCTGAATTTCAAAACCATCTCAGGGACAGGTTTGAGGCCCTAAATACTAATGAGTGAAGACCAGATGAACTGTGGGAGGATATCAAGAATATCATTCAGGAAGAGTGCAAAAGTTCATTACAAAGAGGAGGAAGAAAAGATGAAGATGGATGTCAGAAGAATATGGAATCTATCTCCATCATTTCTGCTAAATTGGAGCCAACTTAACAGCTGATCCTTTACTGGGTTTGTGAAGCTGTAAATAAATTTCTTAGTGGGAGAATGCTCATCTTTCTCCCCTGGAACTGCTAGTGGATTTGATGAACTACCAGAGTGGCCTTCGGGTCACAAAGAGCCTAACTTTTATGGGTTACACACCAGAGTTTCCTAGAAAAGACAAACTCAGAGACAGAATTTGACTCAAAGTCACCAGGAACTGGAAATAGAATTGGAAATGGGTTATTGCTTTCTGAGCACAGAGTTTCTATTAGAGAGACTGAAAAGGTTTGGCAGTAGATAGCAGTAGTGGTTAAATAATATAATGAATATCAGTGAATCATACGTGTAAAAATTGTTAAAATGGCAAATTTTACCACAATTTAAAAAATTCCTTTGCCTCACTGGCAAATGTGTTTCTAAGCACTGTTATCAATTTTAAAAGTGTGCAGCAACATGTTAATAAAATTCACAGCTTGAGAGTCTCTGGAGAAGGCCAAATTATCACTGGTGTAAATTGGAAAATGGAATTAAATTCCCCCCCTCATTTCCCTAGCAATGAGTTGCAAGCTGAAGAGCTCAATGTGGGAATGGGCACCACAAAGGTTAGGGCAGCGTGAGGATGTCAGCTTCTCACCTCTATTAACCGCAGGAGGGGAAACTGTCACCATCAACATCAGCATAAATCAATCTGCAGTGTAAACCAATTCCCATACGGTCAGACAGATATGGTCTCTATGATCCCACACCTAAGAATTCTAACACCAATCATTCTGTTCTATTTCTGGATCTGAAATCTGTTGCAATGGCCACAGAGATTTTACAGATCCATAGTGATAATTATGAGATTTACTGGGAAAGTTGCTGTTGAATCAAGGATGACTCATGGCTGTCCTATGAACAACAGACCTGAACCCTGTCCTGTCCTGCACTATCTTCATGATCTCTGACACACTTGAGCAAATTGTGGCAGTTAATGTGTCAGTCCATCTTGTTGAGGGTCTTCCTCTCTTTTACCAACTTTCCACCTTTCCTAGCATGATATCCTTTCCCAAGAAATGTCCTTTTCTAAAGACATGCCCAAAATGTATTAGATGAAGCTTCACCATCCTTGCCTCAAAAGAACACTCTCGCTGCACCTTCTCCAAGACATATCTGTTTGTTCTTTTGGCAGTCCATGGATATCCAGTACTTTTCTCCAACACTACAACTCAAAGGCATTTACTTTTCTTCTGTCATCTTTATTCATTGTCAAGCTCTCAACACATAGTAAATGATTGAAAAGACCATGGCTTAAGTCAGGTGCACCTTAGTCTTCAAGCTAACATCATTGCTCCTTAGTATTTGGGAGAGGTCCCTGAGAACAAACTTTTCCAAAGCAATGCGTCTTTGGGTTTCTTTACTGATAGTGCCAGGAGTGTTGATTCAGATCTAGGTAAAATGAAATACTTGACAATTTAAATCTTTTATTCATCTATCATGATTTTACCTATCAGCCCAGTGGTCAGGATTTTTTGTTTTCTTGATGTTGAGACATAATCCATATTCAAGACTGTAGTCTTTGATCTCATGCAGTAAGCATTTCAAGTCCTCCTCACTTTCGGCAAGCAAGGCTGTATCATCTGCAAGCTGTTGATGAGCCTTCCTTCTATCCTGATGCCACATTTTGCTTCATCGAGTCAAGTTTCTGGAAGTATTTGTCCAGCATATATATTTAATAGATATGGAGAAAAGATACAGCCCTGAATTATCTTGATTTTAAACTATGCCATATTCCTCTGCTCTGTTCAAACAATAATATCTTGGTCTACATATAGGTTTCATATAAGCATTAGTACATGTTCTGGGATTCCCATCTTCTCAATGTTAACCATGGTTTGGTATGATCCATGCAGTCAAATGCCTTTGTATAGTCAAGAGGACATAAATAGACATTCTTTTTGTATCTTCTACTTTCTGCTAAGATCCATCTGTCCATTCTAGTTATGAGCAGAATAAAATTTCTTAGGACAGCTTCTCTAGGGTGCCCAAAGACCCTTTGACTTTCAGCCCCACAGCTTGGTCAGTGTTACAATGTCCTCTTAGTCCTGCCAATTACAACATCTCCCTTCAGTCCTCTATCAAACTTGGCCAAAGGTCTCTTCTGAGTCTGGCTCTATGGCTCAGCAGTCTCAAATAAGTTGAGTCTTATGTCAGTCTCTGGTTCTCTGTTGAGGCTGCTGCTGTTCTGAAGTCCTGATAGGCCCTGGTCTGACTGGCCCAGGGATCTCTGGCCCCAAAGAATGTGTGCTGCATTCTCTTCCTTCCTAGAAATGAGACTCCCATCTTCTATTGCTAAACCGGCTCACTTTAAACCTGATGGAATGGCAAAATGGATCAATCTCACATTGAATTATTTACCCAGCTGGTTAGCATATTCCCACTCAGCCATGTGGTGGAAATCAAAGCCAAGGAGCTAGAAAAGTATGTTGCCTACAGTGCAGGGACTGATGTAAAGTATTAAAAGGTAAAGAAAAAAGGGGGAAAAAAGATGGTAATAAGGAAAGGGTTTAATTATTTGTCATGATTCAAATGTAATATTTAACTTGGCAAAAAGTTCAAAACCAATTGAAACTTGACATCAGTTAAATTTTGGAGGAGGACCTGAAGCACTTGCTGCAGAAGGTCAAGGACTGCAGCCTTCACTATGGATTGAAGCTCAACATTAAGAAAACAGATACTCATCACTGGTCTGATGGGCAGCATCATGATAGATGGTGAAGAGACTGAGATTGTTGACAGCTTCGATTCGCTTGGCTCTACAATCAACACTCTTAGTACCAGCAGCCAGGAAATTAAAAAGACAAATTGCATTTGGAAAGCCTGCTGTCAGAGACCTCTCCAAAGTACTGGAGAGCAATGATGTCAGTCTGGAGATTAAGGTGTGCCTGATACAGGCCATGGTCTTTGCAATCACTTGCTATGCATCAGAGAGATGGGCAATGACTAGGGATGATAGGAGAATGGATGCCTTTGAGCTGTGGTGCTGGAGAAGAGTGTTGAATATACCACAGACTTCTAGGAGAACAAAATTTGTCCTAGAAAGGGTGAGACCAGGCTGCTCCTTGGAGGCAAGGATTCTGAAGCTCCATTTGACATACTTTGGACATGTTGCAAGGCGGGATCAGTCCTTGGAGAGGGACGTCATGCTTGGGAGGGTGGAGGGATAACACAAGAGAGGAAGACCCTCGATGAGATGGATCGATTCAGTCATTGGGGTAATGGGGGTAGGTGTGTCAGAAACAGTAAGGTTGGCACAGGATAGAGCAGGGTTTAGGGTTGTTGTACATAGGGTTGCTATGAATCACAGGCAACTTGATGGCACATAACAACAACAACATGCCAGTCACTAATGCTAATATTGATAATAATTACCTTTTAGTTCACCATTTGCTTTATAATGTAAAGAGTAAGACAGGTCAATAAAACAAAACTTGCCCTTTGACAACAATGTATTTCTTGCGATTGCAGCCAACAGCTACTTGGAACACCTAGAACAAAGTAAGACAGATGGTAAATTCTATGTTTCTGATTCATGTGATGTAAAATGATTACTAAAGCTAAAAGCAAGTGTATTTTAGATTTTAGCAAATAACCTTTTTTATTATTATTAATTTCAATGAACATCTACAGAGATTTTGGAATTTCATTCATTCACTGTTGCACTTTTCTCCCCGCCCACCCCACCCCCACCCCTACTCCCAGCAAATAACCTTTTAAACATAGTCTTATTATATTGCTCTTATGCTATTTCTCTCCTTTGTTGCTTACCTTGTTGCTCTTTTTCTACTTTCTTTTCATTCTTCCCAAATGCTCAAAGGTTCTCTTTTTCCCTACATCATCATCTGGAGAACCAATCTAATGCTATCGTCATCATCATCTCTAACCATGAGTGTTAATGAGTGATGTTCTAAACATCATCTGGCATACTGCCCTTGCCTTCAGGCTGAACTTTTTTTGTTGTTGTTGTTTGGTTTTTTCTTTTTGTTCTAAGGACTGTAGTCTTTAATATGGATTGAAAAGCTCAACATCAAGAAGACAAAGATTCTCAACAATGGGCCAATTGGCAGCACCATAATAGATAGGGAAAAGATTGAGGTTGTTAACAGCTACAGCTTGGATCGACAATCAACACTCCTGGCATCAGCAGTCAGGAAATCAAAAGATGAATTGCATTAGATAAATCTGCTATCAGGAACCAGAGTATTGAGAAGCAAAGATGTCAGTCTAGAGACTAAGGTGAGCCTAATACAGGCCATGGTCTTGGCAATTAGTTGCTATGCATCAGAGAGCTGGACAATGGCTAAGGATGACAGAAGAATTGATGCCTTCAAGCTGTGGTGCTGGAGAAGAGTCTTGAACATACCAAGGACTGCCAAGAAAAAAAAAATAGGTTTGTTTTGGAGAAAGTGAAACCAAGTTTCTCCTTGGAAGCTAGGATTTTGAAGCTCTGTCTCACACACTTTGGGCAAGTGGCCAGGAGAGACCAATCCTTGGAGAAGGACATCATGGTCATAAGGGTGGAAGGACAGAGCAGGAGAAGACCCTGGATGAGATGGATTGATACAGTGACAGGGGCAATAGGGGTAGATGTGTTGGAGTCAGTGAGACTGGCTTAGGACAGGGGAGGCTTCAGAGCTGCTGAACATAGGGTTGCTGTGAGTTGTAGGTGACTTGAAAGCACATAACAACAAACAACTACTAATGTGATTCTTCCTCGACCATGTTGCTTTTTTCTTTTCTACTTGGCTCCAGGAAATGCTTCTCAATGCATTCTACTTCTCACCTTCTCCCAGGCTTTCTGGTGGTATCTGGATAGCTGCACTCCGTAAGTTGTATTCTTCAACAAGGTGAACTGAGAAAAGCTCTGTTACTTGCTTCCTTCTCAGAGGGATTTGAGAGTCACGAAGGTGGAGACAGGGTACGAAGGCCAACCGAACTTAGAGGATTTAAACACCCATTCCTGCTAAACCAAGATCTTTCAAGCTTCATTGAAAAGGCACATTCCACAGTGCAAGCTCAGGAGGTTTGCCTCCTGAACCACCTGATCTCACCATAGGACTTGAGTTTGCTCTTCCAATGACTCTATCCACGGTTGCTGCTGCCCACTACCATTAAATCTTGGCTCTTCCACCAAATGTGATCAGAAACATAGGCCTGTCCTTCATCTTTGTTAAGAAACCCTTATGTGGATACACCACACATGGTTGGCGGAGGTCTTCAGATGGATCATAGCCAGGACCCACCATCACTTGATCTTATTTGTAACATCCCTTCTCTTTGAGGTCCTGGGTGACAAGTCACCCAGCCTCAGAATCATCAGCAAGGGCTGGTGTTACAAATGGAAGTAAACCTGTATGTTGGCTTTGAAACAAAGCTGCAGGTATGGACTGTGGGGAGCGTGAGTAAGCTGCTTTCTAGGGCACCCAGTGAAGCAGGTCTACCTTGTGTTCCCAAGTCCTACACACCAAACTAGGTAGCTTGTGACATGTGGTCTAAACAAAAACCAAAAAACAACCCACCAAATCCCAGTACATTGCTTTTCTCTATGTATACTATCATCTTCAATGCAGGAGCAGATGTAGCAAACACTCACCATCTGATACAGCACAGGTGAGGCAGGAAATTGAAAGGACCTCGGCTCAGATACTGAAGTAGATAATACCTCAGATGGAGTTGTTGTCATCTCTCCTTGGGAAACTTCATCTTGGAAGGAATTATTAGCATCCTCTGGGACCAGTGTGCCAGGCTGGCCTCTTTACATTTCTGGTTCTTCGTTGAAAACTGACTGGCAGTTGTGCTGGCTGCTCTGCCAAAGGCTCTCAGGACATTCTGTCACACAGGTGACAGACTTCCATTGAAGTGGCTCTGAAATTCATTTGGTGGACAACTTTAACAAGAGTGCAACTTCACTGGACAGCATTCTGTTGTCAGAGGCTGACTCCATAACAGCTCATAATAACTTAATTCAGTTTGGGCCAATGTTAGGTTACATCTAGTTTTTCAGAGACTGTAAATTGCACAGGAGAAAATGGCCCATCTTTCTCCTACATAGTAGCTGGTGGATGTGTACCTTTGGGTTGGCAGCAGAACTCCTTACCACTCAGATATCAGAGCCAATGAACACATAGAGACAGAGCTAGGCCATGTCTCTATACAATATTCGTCTGTGAAACTGGCGATGAGCTTGCTTATGGGTATAGGAGCATAAGAAGAGCCCTTGTAGCCAGGTGGATCCAAGCAAGATTATATCATTGACACTTTCTATCTCTTCTCCATCTATCATGATGCTGCCTATTGCCCTGTTGTTGTTGTTATGTGCCATCGACCCTTTGAACAATAGCTCTGAACTTTGCCCTATCTTGAGCCAATCTCACTCTCTCTGACACACCTGCCCTCATTGCCACAGTCATTGTGTCAGTCTCTCTCATCCAGGGTCGTCTTCACCCTTCCAAACATGATGTCATTCTCCACGGACTGGTCCCTACTGGAAACATGCTCAAAGTACCTGTTGGCTTGGTGGTAAAGATTTTTGTTTTCTTGATGTTGAGGTGTAATCCACATTGAAGGTTGTAGTCTTTGCTCCTCTGCAGCAAGAATTTCAAGTCCTCCTCACTTTTATCAAGCAAGGCTGTGTAATTTGCATAGTGCAGGGTGTTGAATTTTCCTCTGATCATGATGCCACATTCTTTTTCAGACAGAGTATCTTCTTGAATGATTTGTTCTGCATACAGATTGAATAGATATGGAGAAAGGATACAGTTCTGATACACACCTTTCCTGGTTTTAAAGTTGCTCAGTGTTACCTTTTTCTGTTCAGAGAATGGCTTCTTAATCCACATATAGATTTTGCACAAGCATAATTAAGTGGTCTAGAATTCCCATTCTTCTCAATGTCAGCCATGATTTGTTATAATCTACACAGTCAAAGAGCCTTTACATAGTCTATAAGATACAAATAGCTATCTTTTTTTTTTGTATTCTTGGCTTTTAGTCAAGATCCAGCTAACATCAGCAATGATATTCCTTGTGCCAGAACTTCTAAATCCAGCTTAGATTCCTGGCAGTTCTCTGCCACTGTACTGTTCTAGATGTTTTTTAATAATCTTCAGCATGATTTTACTTGAATGTAATACTGTTGTTTTGTATCATCAAATCAGAACTGATTAATTGTTGACATTGTAGCAGGTTTTCAGCCCATTTTTAGAGTAACTGGTGCTTTCGAACTGTGTTTCTTTGGATTAACAGTGCAATTCCTTACCACTAAACCACTAGAGCTCCCACCAAAGCATGTGATATTAGGAGTCCCTGATGTCTTTGAATTGTGTTGTTGGAAAAAGTGCTGAGAACAAACAGATATGTCTCAGAGAAGGTGCAGCCAGATTGCTTCTTGGAGGCAAAGATGATAAAGCTTTGCCTTTTGTACTTTGGGCATGTTGCTAGGAGGTTATTCCTTAGAGAGGGACATTATGCTTGGAAAGGTGGTGGGATGGTGAAGAAGAGGAGGACTCTCAACCAGGTAGAGATTGACACAGTGATTGCAGCAATGGGCTCAAGTGTGTTAGTGATCTTGAGGATGGCACAGGATGAGACTGGGTTTAGATCTGTTTATAAGGTCGCTATGAGTCATACTCAGCATTGAAACAACATTATTTGATTACAGTATGTGTACATCACATTATCTTAGTCTATGATGATATGAAATTTACTCTTATACATGTTCCACAAAAGGATTATGAAAACAGGGTTGAATTACCCTTATAAGGAGTACAGTATACCCTGTACAACTCCCATTACACAACGTGCTGACAGATGCAGAAATAGAGTTGTTGCTGTTCTGTACCTTTGAGGCACCTGTGACACATAGCGACCCTGTGTACAACAGCTCTGAAGCCTGCCCTGTCCTGAGCCAGTCTCACTGATTCTGACACACCTAATACTATTGCCCTATTGCCTTGATACAGTTATCAAGCCATCTCATTCAGGGTCCTCCTCGCCTGCACTGTTCCTCCACCTTTCCCAGAATGATGTCTTTCTCCAAGGATCGGTCCCTCCTGGCCCAAAGTATGTGAGACAGAGCTTCAAAAATGAATAAATGATTGAATTGTTTAAATAAGCCAGAATAGATGGGATATCTTCTTAGACAAACCATGTTAAATTTTAGTTGTTCTCATCCATTTCTGAATTCTTTCATTGTTATGTGCCATCCAGTGGGTTTCAACTCAACAACTTTCTGTGTAACAGTACAAAAGGTCCCCAGTCCAGTGCCGTCTTCACAATATTAGAAATGCCTGAGTCCACTGCCACAGCTGCTCAGCCAAGCTGTCTCCTTGAGGTCTTTGTCTTTTTTTTTTTTTTGACCCTCTATCAAGCATGATGTTCTTCTTCAGTGATTGGTCCTCTCTGATGACCTGTCAGCGAGACAAAGTCTCATAAAAATTCCTTTTTTTAAAAAAAAAATGTGTTTTTTTACAATATTCTTCTTATCGAG